ATCTATGGAATCCAAGGAATGCAATTTTGTTCAATGTTCTAGATTGACACAATTGTTTTAACCACCTGATTGGGACACGCTCCATGAACTATATGAAAAGGGCGAGATTTGTTGAGGTTTGGCCAAAGTATGACGATAGTATCAGAGAAAATCAGAAGGTGGACAACGGAAGCAGTCGCAACATGCAATCAAGTCGATGTGAGTACCTGGAATCATTACGCGCCGATTTGATTGAGAGTAGGTAATAAAGTAGCTTCAGTCCAAACGTGTCCAAAGGCAAGGAATCAGAAGATGCAGCTTATCCAACGGAAGGTAGAATCTGAAGGGAACCTTTAAAATTACCAAGAGAGTCCATCGTCAAAGACTGCTCAAGAATTAGACTGCAATCCGCAATCAAGGTGAGAGTATAGTAAGGTCTCTCCAGATGCAAATTATCAACACTTGGAGGTACTTTATCTGCCTGTGAGCACTGATTTGTCGGTACAGGATTTGTACGTGTGAGGAAGCAACAGCAATGTCAATTACTTAATTGAAGTTTCACATTTCTTAATGTAACTTCATGTCGTAGTCAATATTCCCGGTTTGATATATCTAAAATCGTAAGTGTTCACGAAGGAGTCCATTCGATTGAGATTGTACTTGCACCTTCAAGAAAATACAAAGGAGAGAAAAAGTATACAGAAGCTGCAGTAGAATTTGATAAGTAGCGTAGGACGGATGTGAGTTCTTGGGAAGCAAAACTTGCTATGAGAAATGGGAAGAATGACCGAGGTGAATCTAGATCATCAGTTTAATGACTAGGTGGTGAAGATTCCATTCTTGTGTACAAGTTGCCGAAATCATGTTTGCAAGGGGTGCTTCTGATACTAGTCAAGGTTTACTCCTTTAAATATAATTTGATACGCATGACCTGTGATTGACATTGTGACCGTGGAAGACAAAAGTATATTGGAAGAGCAACTGTCCAAAAATTGTAAGTATAAGAGGAGGTTTGCAACACTTGTGACAGCCGGGAAGTAGTTGTTGTGGTGGGGATGAAATTATACATAGTGACACCTGCTTGTAACAGTGGTCGAAAGTTAACTTCTGTTTGAAGGTGGCGGCTGGGAAATCAGTTTTCCCGTTTTCCAATTTTAATCTACTAAGTAATGAGACCTGTTATGAAGACTGAAGTTATGTCAAGATGGCTGCTGGGAAATCAGTTTTCTTGTTTTCCAATTTTAATCTACTGAGTAATGAGACCTGTTATGAAGACTGAAGTTATGTCAAGATGGCTGCTGGGAAATCAGTTTTCTTGTTTTCCAATTTTAATCTACTGAGTAATGAGACCTGTTATGAAGACTGAAGTTATGTCAAGAGAACTGTCGGTACTTGTCAGGAATGAGGGAATAGATGACTTAAATCACTCGCAGGTACTGGCAAAGTCAATATAGGGCAAATGCATGTACAAAGTTACTGTGCATGCGGAGTATGATACCCTTCACATAGGATACACAAAGTTGATGATGCATGTATCAGTGGTTCTATTAAACGTCTCCTTTTGTTTCTAAATGGATTGATAGTAAACAAATTCTAACTGAGTTTGTGAAATAGCAGCTTGTACAAAACGACTAGTTAGCTTTAGTTCCCTTGTTCTCAAACAGAAATTGAGCAAAAGACAAGGTCTAAGATCCTGAGTGAACCAGAGCCGTAAGTATAGCAGGTTGGAGTATAAGCTTCAACAATGTTGAGAATTGTATGAAATTTCAGTTATCAAGCAATAGGTGCACAACAGTATAGTACAAACTTGGACTTCGGAAGACACTTTAGATATATGCTAGACTTTGATTGGGTATGGAGGCCGTGGCTAGCCAATCAAAGTAGGTAGGAACATTTGTATGACTTGGGAAACACTCAAAATACTTTTAGATGCTAAGCCTTGAATTTGGTTTCTTCCATATCAGTGGGATGTGGAATAGGCTTCTATCATAGTAATTTTTATAGGAGTAATCATTGTTGTGCACACTCAATAAAATCTAGTTTTCTACACAGAAAAGATGCAATCAAAATTCACTATCCTATACTTCTTGCTGCAGATTTCTTTCTTCCTCCTTTATATAAACAATCTTGATACTGACTGGAAAAGAAAAGAAAAATTATTATGAAGTGATCAAGAATTGGGATCCGGTCATAGCCACTCTAATTTTCAGGTTGGGAATATATTGTACTTATATATATATGTGACGTGGTCAAAAACATATTAAACTTTCAGGGCTTAGTGTGTTTGTTGAGGTGAAGTGTGACCTCGGCGTGGAGAATCTCTATGCAACTTGATGGATGAATTTCATCGTTGGCGCTGGAGGCAGAAGATGATAGGGGGCGATGGATATCGACTCGAGATCGCAATGCGATGCGATTTTCCTTGTGTTTTGTCTTGTTTTGTGCTGCGTTTCTTTTAGACTGAAAAGTCGTTGCTAGTTGTTTGCTTGTGTTTGGATCCTCTCCAGTCTTGCTTCCTAAGTTTGATTCCTTTTATGTCTTTTATCATACTTGAAGATGTTTGATAAATGTTTGAGTACTTTTGTAAAATTTTATTTTATTTTTAAATATGTGATAGTAATTTTACGTAAAGATTTTCATAATTGTTGCCAATTTTATAAGTTAAATTTTTTTTATTGAAGTGAGATTTTTGATGATTGAATTTATTGTTTTTAATGTGCTTGTAGAGTATTTTTATTCAACTGTACATTCTACAAATCTTTGTTAGCTTTGCATTTTATATTGTAAATAGACTCAAACATAAATAGATTTCAAATATATGTTGCAGATATGTTCAAAGATGAATATTTTTAACATCTATTATTGTGTTACATGACAAAAGTTTTCATCATGGAGACTTTATTTCTTTTTCATGTCTAGCATTATCTAGAATCGGATTGGATTCTCATTAACTTAAAGTTTGAAGAGTGTATATATATTCAGATTGAAGGGTAATGAGTAATTCTTTATGCTCTTAATTTATTTATATAGTCTTGCTCTTGTAAGTATTATGCTAGTGAATTGTAGGTGAAACATACATATGATTGTCTAATTTACATTTCTTAATATTCTTAAGTTCAAGAGTTTTTGTGTAAATCTAGTCCAAACATTTTCATCTTAGTTGCTTACATGGTAGTGTTGTTTTAAAAATGTGAGCAAATTCATATGGACTATGCTTATTTGAAGGTCAAGAATCGACTATTCATCACGTGATTTAGAATCTGTTGTTTGTGAGGCTGTTAAGAGCTAAAACTGTACAACAAATACGTGTTATATATATTGTTGTTAAACGAGGTTTACACAAATCCATACTTTGGATTTCAACTAATGTTGAACTTGAAACAATACAAAATTCATAAACTTAGTTCTAAATTTTTTTATACTAGATGTATGACAATAATCCAATGAAAGTACAAAAATGAAATATTATCTAAATTTTTGCATTTTTTTTTCAAAAAATGAATAACTAGAGCAAAATACAAAAAAGTATGAGAAAGTAGAATTATCATCCATAGTTAGGATAATAAAAATGGAAAATAAAGAATTATATACTTCTAGCTTTGACGTGTAGTGATTTCATGATGTGAAGTTGGGATGGATATCAACTAAACCTTAGAAATGATACTCCAATTCTTGCAACGAGTACGTGGAAAATGGTAGTTCAAATCTAAGATCAAAATTGCATCGAGAACAAACATTAGAGTCTCAGATTTATTCAATACATGAACTGACCATATCAAAACATCAAAGAAATCAGAATTAGCGCAAGCCAAGTGAGAGAGTTAAACTTGTCCGCTTGTTGTTTGGAATATGAACTGCTTTGGTCTATTTTTGGATAGCGATTACGCGCAGCATGTCACTTGTGGAACAATTTACCAACCGAAGATCCAAGAATATGAATCTCGAACAAAGTCTCTTGGTGCGCATACATCCATTGCGTTGATCCGTGTTTCACATCGACTATCCATGTGCCAAATTTGAATACGAACGGATGCCCGCTCAACGGGTGACTTCTTGACGCGACGATGACAAAAAAGATACCGTCACGATGATGACGATCATACGGTCGAAGTTCTTTTAGCTTGCAGTTTTGCAGGGTTTTCGTAATTCAATACACAAAAAAGTCTTGGGCTCAACTTTCTCACCTATTTGATGTTGTAAGGAAACAAATTGTGGAAGAAACTCGGTGCGCCCAATGTTTGCACAGTTTGTTGATACTAGAACATAAAGAACTTGTACCATAGGTGGGTTTATAGAGTAAAACTAAACTTAAAAGTTAGGGGTATACAATATAGATTCCAAGGTTCCATCAAGTAAATAATTCGGTTTCAATTCCTTCAACTTAAATGCATAAATTAGTGAAGTGTTAACGAGTTATAGGAAGTATTTTCACTAAAATACTCAAAACCTTCTTTACAAACGAAGATTTCATTATGTAAAAAAACATATTATTATTGTATTATGTTAAGGAGGGGCGCCAAGTATATAACAAAGAAGAGAGAGACCATCAAGCCCCAATAATGTCAAATGCAAGGACTCCCGATTCCATTCCATGATTGCCCCGAGAAAGGCCTATAAATGCAGTTTGGCCAAATTAAAGGAACCGTCGCAAAGACGACGCGAGTTCGGATTGCGACGCGCAGCTGGTCGCGATGGCATCATGAAGAAGAAAAAGCCAAAGCCAACACCAGAGCTAGGGATGCTCACGGCTCGGCTAACGTCTTGCCAGCCGGCTAATATTATTTGTTAGCCGGCTAGCCGGAACGCTCACCGAGGCCGAAAACTCGGACCGACTCTGCGTTTTCGGCCAAAAACGCAGAGGCTGATTCATCCGAAATTATCCCCCAAATCCTCATTTCGACTGATTATGTCAGCCGAAATGCGTTTTTGGCCGAAAGCCGATTACTGTAGTACACGGCTAGCCGGCTACGTGACCATGCCTACCCAGAGCCGAATCCACGCGTCGCGTCGCAGGATGTTACGTCGCGTCGCAGGAAGCGGGTCGTCGCGTCTCTCGCCTTCATTCAATTCGAGCGAGCGAGGGATCGATGGCAGATCTTGAAATTGTCGACCTCGAGCTCGAGCTCGACCTCCATCGCTGACACCGATTGTACACCAAATCTGCTTCTTGCTTGATCGCCCTCGGCCTCATCCTTTCACCATCATCGTCATCGTCGTTCCGTACGCACTTCTCGGCAATGATCGAGCTCCGGAATGGCGCACATTGAGATTCTTGGTGCCTAACGGTACCCTCTTTCTGTCAGTCCGTCGTCGTCTGCCTTGAGCTCTTCCCGAATCTTTCCTCTTTGAAGCGCCCTGCCCTAAAAGCAGAAGCCGGATCCGCTGGACGATTTTGGTTGGAGCCGTCGGCGTGGGGTATTAAAAATCTTAATCTGATTGCGCATTGAATCTTGCCTCTCGCGGTAGCCAGGACGTTGACTCTGGGAAAGTCACGGCTCGCAATCGGTTCGCAACTGAGAAAGTTCATGACCTTCTGGAATCTGGGCATGGCTGCAGTTCAGAATCTGCATCTGTTCCGTTTGCAGCCGCGAGAAAGAGCAGATGGTGACAGATCCGCAGAGATCTGGCATCTCTGGCGGTCGGGGACGAAGGCACGCGTGCGAAGCGTCCTTTCAAGGGACCGAGGAGGATCTTGACGCATTTCATCTGCGGCGAACAGAGGGTCGCGCTTTGCATTTGCCACGTTCGTGGCTAGAATCTGCGCCCCGCACACACTTGTTTCGACGAGGCTCCTTTTCCGCCAGAGTATCTCCGCTGTCGAACATCCGAAAGCGCGAGCGCGAGCGCAAGGATATAGACTGCTGCTGGGCTAGGTTCTGACCACAACACCTAGGGAGTGTGAGGTGTCCATGTTTCGCATCAAGGTGTCAACAACGTCGAGCAATCGTCCCTCGTATGGAATCAGTCAGTCAATGAGAAGATCAAGAACTTCCTTCCCTGACGTCCACGGTCCTATACTTAGGCTTCCAAGAGTATAACGTCATCCTCGTCACGTCTAAAAAAAAGGTTTCTTACTTCCCGATTGTTGGGAGCTAAACTCATTGCGATCTTGCTGCTGAAAAGTACACCAATGCGAAGCGAGTTAGTGTAGATGTGGATGAATCCGTTTGGACATGAATGTTCACGCAGCCGTCGTAAGACTACGTTTGGAGAGAGTTGGTCGAAAGAGAAGGTGGCGACATTTTATTTAGCCTGCAAGAATCTACTTGGCTTTTGAATACACGCGTCCAATTTGGTGCAACTCCTATTGTAGTCCCCTCTTTGATGATCCTGCTCGATAGCTTGGAAGCGCTGGGGTCATCGAATTGGACACTTGAGATAGTATCCCACAAGCAGAGGCAATTGCTATTTTCGCGTAGCGAGAAATTTGAAGAAGTAGAAGTTCTGTAGGTGAATGTTAATCGCTGTACCTTCCGGTGAGAGAGTGAAGTAGCCTGGAATTTACCGACGTGAACCGAAACGTAACAGAAACTGCCATTATAAATTCGCGAGGTCTTTCTCTCTCGATATCGATATCCATGTATTATGCGGAGCTGTAGTCTTTCACGTCTTCGGGCAACGGAGTACACATCTCCTGTGAATAGAGAGGTCTTGGAGTTGTGATCGTCCTGGTTTGAGACCTCCGATTTGGCACTGGTGCGCATGTGCAGAACCGAGTGCGCTTTCCAAACCGAACAAAATGCTGACTCCATCTTCTCTCGCTTTTTTCGAGAACCTGGACCTTAGTGAAGTGACGAAGCAAATTATTGCCGAGTACATATGGTTCATCTCTAAACCCTCGACTCCTGCCTTCTTGCGTTAGTTCTAGATTCTTCTTGAATGACAAACCTCGAGCTGAGCCAACTCTTATTTCTCCTTGAAAGGCCGTGGTCCAGATCGTCAGAATGCATGGCTGTACAAACGTAGCGGAGTTAAGAACAATTAATCTATTACTATTCATGTGTGGATTACGGCTGATTACAGTACCACACGAGATGCATGATTGGGAAAATTGGCGAAACTCACACTCGCGCATGCTTCACACGTTTCGAATAGGATGTTACTTCTCACTTTGCACATCGAAAGTTTGTAACATGAGTTTGATCATTCGGGACCACTTGCTCATCCAAAATCCAATTGCATCAGTATATGTGAAGTTTCGAGATTCCGTAGTAGGTTCCAGCTGATGTAACGCCAATTCTGAGGAAATCTGACCGACATTGAGATTCGCGAAGTCATGATTGCCAGTTCCTTAAATTAAGCTCTACACTGCAACTTTCGGACCGTAATCTCAGCTGATCTTTTATGGTGGGGACTATACAGGATCGGGGGATCAGGGTGCGACCTACGCAGCAAAGCCAGAGTAAGACGTCGTCAACTCTCTCTCCCTTTCTACTGGCTTCTCTGTTCTCTGTACAAGATTTCAGCTTTTTGCTCACTTAGGTGTAGATTGAAAAGACAGAATTAGCTTTTTCAATTGACGATTGACACCAGCTGGAACGGAACTTTCACAGGTCAAAGTAGCATTAGTTAAGATTCTATTATCCGTTTCTGTCCCCATCAAATCAACTGCATGCATTCATGGTGATAAAGCATCCATGCATACGATCTGAGCGTGGAGATGAAATTGGTCCCAATGGTTTATGTCTGCTCAACCTGACAGTGAGCATTGACGCAATCTTGCATGATAATGTGTGTTCCTTCTTAGACTCTATCATGTAGCATGACGAGTCCAAAGGACCTTCCGAAGTGGAACTATGATGGATCGAGCACTGGACAAGCTCAAGGAGATGACAGCGAAGTTATACTGTAGTAAGTTGAGAACAGAACATTCTTATTTTCTGATTTGACTGAGCAGTCGTTAGTGGTGTTCTGATTACGTAGACAGTGCATCACTATACAAAATCTTCCGCTTCTGGGATTATATTTAGATTTACTGAATTTTGAAGTTGAAACCGCAGCCCTCAAGCAATCTTCAGAGATCCTTTCAGAGGAGGGCACAATATTCTGGTACTTACTTTCCACCCATTGCACTTTATTGGATCTCTGCTCCTTAGTTTAAACTCTTGACATACCACTGACGAAGCGATGTGTACGTGCACTCACACGTCTCATGGCTTCTTACGGTATCAGGTGATCTGTGATACATACAGTCCAAAGGGCGAGCCTTTACCTTCGAATAATCGCGCCAGAGCAGCACGAATATTTGAGACTGAAGAGGTTGCCATGGAGGAACCGTGGTACGTAGTTTTGAACATTAATGGTTGTCAACATTTGCTGTTGCTAACTGAAAATCTGTCTGAAACCGATAGATTCAAACGGAAAGCAAATGGGAGTTTCTCGAAAGAGGAGGCAACACTAGGGAGAGAAAATTTGCACAAAGCTGCTGTCCTTCATTATGGCATTAGCCCGTAGGACCGGACCTAGGTCTTGCACCCCGACCTGTTGACCATTATTGCACGTTCGTGGAAAGAACTCTGACAATCGACAGATGGTGGTTGTGACAAAGGTTTGGTCTTGAACAAGAATACACTCTTCTGCAGAAAGACATCAACTGGCCTCTAGGCTGGCCAGTCGGTGGTTACCCTGCACCTCAGGTGATTTTTATCGGAATTCTTTAATGAATTTGTTCGAAGATGAATCTATGCAAATGAAATAGACGGAACGCGCTGCTTTTATAGGGTTTATTGACATTGAGGATACTTGATTGAACTGATAGGGTCCATACTACTGTGGGGTTGGAGCAAACAAAGCTTGGGGTCGAGATATAGTAAATGCCCACTATAAAGCTTGCCTCTATGCCGGGGTAAAGGTCAGTGGAATCAACGGAGAGGTCATGCCGGGCCAGGTAAAGCTCTCTTTTCAAACTTACAAGTAGTCAATGTTGTGCATGGCATTATCTAGTCATCTGCAATCCGCAAGACTTCCCATGTGCATAAAGTGCGGACAAACGGCTGTTCTTCATGTTCGTGGTTTTTGTAGCTGCTTTCGACAGGAGTTGGAGCAATATAGGTGTGTCAGGGATTGTAACCTCTTACACCCACACTACACGAATAAAACAAAGGTTTCAACTGGCCACTCTTTGTTACTTCTCTCTTGCAGTGGGAGTTCCAAGTGGGACCCTGTGTCGGCCTCGATGCGGGTGATCATCTCATCTGTGCTCGCTACATTTTAGAGGTATTTGACGTAACTGTACTATGTTTTTTAATTTGAATAAATTTTATACTGTCGATATAGGGGACATCTGGTTTTATGGTGTAGTTGGTTATCACGTCAGTCTAACACACTGAAGGTCTCCAGTTCGAGCCTGGATAAAGCCATGTCTTTTTGGGGCTGCTCCATCGCTGCTGTCTTTTTTTCTTTTCTGAAGGCTATCCAGCAGCTTTAAATATAATAGTGGCAGGTGCAATCGCTGGTTCGTAGAACCTGTTCACTTGCAACAGACGCATGTCAGTCAGCAAATCTCGATGTGATGGGATGGTGACCTAATACTTAAGTCTTCATCACATTTCTTTTAAGCTTGTCCACATCAAAAATTTGAAGTTGTATGTTTCTACGTTCCAATCCAAAAACTTCGTGTGGCTGGTTTAAGTACCACTTTTATTTTACAAATGTCTGATTAAAACTCTAATAGAAACTAAGTAATTAGCTGAAAACTCGTGCACAAATAGAGGGTTACATCTAAACGCGTGCCTTCTAGTGGAATAAAGCAAAAACAATTTGGCACTTATATAGTCCACGAGTCTGCAATTGTACCGTGACTTGTTCTCCTAGAGGAAAAACGCCTGCAATTAACCATCTTATGCACTTTCGTTGGTTACCGTTATCTGGATCCTACTTTACTAGGCGGGCCAACCCCTTTCTCTCTAACCCAACATGCATAACGCTCACAAGTCTCGTGTTTCATGTTGTCACTGAAATCGTCTTAATTTTGATTGCAGCGAATGACGGAGATTGCTAATGTTGTTCTCTCCTTCGAACCAAAACCAATCCCAACGGTAATCCACCAAATATCTTCCCAATGAGGTTTGTTCTAGGCATGCAAATAGCTCATCCACAAATTAATATCTCCGTGAGGTTCGCAGTTTGTCCACAGTGAAGGTCAAACTAATTGATTTCAGTTGGTTCTGCCGATTGCAGGGAGAGTGGAATGGTGCTGGATGTCACACTAACTACAGGTGAATATCTAGACATGTGGTGTGTTTTGTTGTCCATGAGGGTCGTAAATAAATGCATGTTGATGAGATAATAGATAACCTCTTTGTACCCTCCCAGATATTTCTGGATATTTCTGAAGAAGGCTGCTTTTGAACAGGCGTTTTACAATCATTGTAAATATATCCAGATCTTAGACCACCACTTTCTTAGAGAAACAACTTGGGTTAATTGTTTGAACAAAGAGGAACTAGTAAGAACTCAGGGCTGTAAGCTGTCGTACAGTTCTCCATATGAGATATTGTCACAGCGCGCAGTATTTCACCGGGATATTGTTATTTTCTCAGTACCAAATCAATGCGATCGGCAGGAGGTTACGAGGTGATTAGAGAAGCTATTGAAAAACTAGGGTTGAGGCACAAAGAGCACATAGCTCTGTATGGTGAAGGCAATGAGAAAAGGTTGACAGGAAAGCATGAGACTGCATCCATGGACAAGTTTAGCTGGGTAAGTCCGTTCTCTTTCCAGTTAGACAAGATTTTGCACAATAAACACTATCATCTTAAACTACTTAGGCTTGCTTAATTTGAAGTTCATGTAGAGTATAAGTTTTTTAAGTTGATACTAAATCGATAAAAGGTCATGCATAATCTGCATGAAACTTTTTATGCTCCAAAACGTCTCTTCATGAGAAAGGTTCACATTGTGCTTGGTCTAGAACTGAGTCCAAGGATGATCCGTGACGTCTTTGTCAGTAGACATCTTTCACATCATGCAGGAAAGGTTTTCTTCAACTTTTCAGCCGTTTTGCATTCTCTTTCTCTCTTTCTGTTATCGAAGTGTATAAGCACTAACTCTCCTCCTGTCTATTGGAGGGTCTCTTGCAGCCTTTGTAGAACACATCCCATGTCATCCCGTCTGAACCATAACGTGGCAAATACTTTTTTTGTGCCTTCCAAGTAGTTCCTTGCTTTGTACTTTGCTTTGTATCTCTAACTGAACTTTCAAAAGCAAGAAGGAAGATTACGCCTTATGGTCTGACTAGTCAGGTTCCCATGTGCTTATGTCCAACACAAATACCATCTGCAAGCTGTACCTCGCAACGGAACCTGCTCTGCTTTAAGAAGGCAGCTTCATATTTCAGCTCAAAGAGCTGAAATATGAAGCGTTTACGATGTTTCCAACAGAGTTTGATTCGGATATGGGACATGATAACATGATTTTGACAGGGCGTTGCTGATCGTGGAGCATCAATACGCGTGGGTCGGGAGACCGAAGCAGATGGAAAAGGTCAGTAAGAACCTTGCTTGGAACTTTGTGAAAGTTGTTCATACCTTTGTCGACTAAAAGATGCCTTCCCGTTTCTGGAGCCGTGGTGGGTTGAACAAAAGAGATGACGTAACAAAGACACAAACGAACTCTGATGCAGGGTATTTCGAGGACCGGCGTCCATCAGCAAATATGGATCCTTACCTCGTAACCTCAATGATTGCAGAAACAACCCTTTTGTGGAAACCTGTGGGTAAGAGACAAGCCTTCATTGTTTCGTTTCACGACGAAGGAATCGCCTTTAGCTGCAAAACACCCTCTCTGTACATTGAGTATCTTCTCTATGTTGGACTTTTGTCGATTTCCTATCAACCTGCATAAATCGGTTGCAGTTCACTTGTATGGCTATTTTCAGAAGACTGATTGATGACATTCTTTCAATCAGGCTTGAAGGAGAAGGCGTCGGCTTAGACGTTTCTTCTTGTAGGACTCGAAGAGTTCTAATCATGTTCTGCTGGAAGTAAGGTAATGCACACAAGCTGGGTCAATGATAAACTCCAAAGCATACTCCCGACGTCGAGGGTTTTCGATTTGCATGGTAGATATGCTAATAATCGCAGTATTGCCATGTTACGTTGGAGTTCAGCTAAGAATCAGAATAATCGACAGATGCGAGTGAACCGATGAACAGCAAACTTGGTGTACACTGCTGTAAATGCGATCTAATCTTAGGTCTCCATTCCCATTTGATTTGACAGCGGTTAGCGGCGTCAGCGGTTTTTTTGAATCCGCAGTGTACGGTTGTAAATATATATGAAGTCGATGGCACGTTGAAGGAAATCAATCATCAGGTCTGTCATGAGATGTTCAAACATCTGAGGGTCAAAAGCATGTTCTGGAATGTGGATAACTTCAAGCTGGTATTCTGCAACAAACAAATATGTATGTAACAAACATTCTACGATCATTGTCAACTCAAATTGAAAATAGAATTGGCTGTACGATGAGTGTGAGCGAAGGTCATGCACACTATTCGGATCTCTGTTAACTGGCATTCAAATTAATGATAGAAAATGTTGAACAAATGGGACAAATAAGTCCACGGATATAGCGCCAGAATACCGACATGTACCACGTCTAAGTTTTAGACCTTCGCCTTTGTGCTGGGTGGGGCTTCAATGCCGAACATGTCTAGATTTGTGCTTTACTATTCCATCAAAAGGTGAAGAAACTTTCCTCAACTATTGGCAATACACAATCCGACGCAGCTACAGAAAGGAAATGATGACGATGACAGCTTTTTACCTTTAGTTGACTTGATTGAGGGTAGGCCACGCCACGAGGACAAAATTTTAGCATATAGAATCTACAGTGCCCTATCGTCGTCCATGACTGAAGCTTCATCTTGGAGATGCCTTGATACTCAGAATAAATGTAGGTTAAGTGGTGACCTCATTTTCTTGTTTCGTCAAACCGGACCCACTGACTGCCATATACAAGACTGGCGAAACGTATTCTCCAGCTTTGAGTGAGTTTTTAGAACTGGACTCAATGTCGTATGTTACAATCCCACATGGATCGAATTTACTGTACAGGAGAATGAAAACAGGAGGAAGGAGGTCTTTGTTTTCCTATCATGATGGAGAGGGCGCTGGTATAGTTTCTACGGAGTTTGTTAGATGTTGTCTATTCTACCTGCCAATGACCAGACCACTAAAGACCTGACTACTACCAGCAAGGGTAGCTTCCCACTCTATTGACCCCAGCAGCAACTGTGAAAGGGTGTACACGACTTGCTTCATGTCTGGCCGAACTGCAGGATCTTCCTCCACGCACTGTCGACCCAGCGTCGCCATCTGTAGATTCATTCTTCCAAATTAGACGAAAATGCCAAACGTGCTCTGAAGCTGCTGTAATGAGGAGAGTGTGGTATACTAGGTTCTCTGCAAGCAATTTACCGGGTAGCTAAAGCAAATAAATCAGCACTCATCTTCCCATTCACATCTTAAATCCCAGATTCTGCTCTTACCCGATGAACGCAGTCTAATGGGTACATCTCCTGTAGAAGAGGATCGACGCAGAGTTTTAATTTTGCCATATTATACGGTGAGGAATCCCCAAGAGCACTCAGCATCTGCCAGAAATCATTGCATCAGTATGTTATTCAGTCAAAAAGGATCTCAAATTTAGCTGTTAGCGGGATCCTACATGTAATTTTCAGAAAAATAATATTCGTTGAATACTTCATGTCGGCAATTCCCTTCAGTAATTCGCTACAACACCTAAAATTGTCGTCTTATGTCACGACTTCAAACATAGGGCCTTAAGTTGAATTTAAACCATCATTAAAGATTCTGATATCTCAGAATCTTGCATCTCAAACCTGGATCATCAATGTACATCTTACTTTTCAGTCTTCAATCATGATCATTCTTCTTTAACTAACTGGAAGATCTTAAAACCGTATTGCACTGCTAGTTCAGCTCTAATAAGGCATTTGTGAGCTTGTTTTTCCAGAGTCTTCAGAATGACATCAAGTTCACCTCCACAATCTAAAAAAAGAATCGACCATAGAGTGAGTTTGAACTGTATGAAATTACTTAGAGTTTACACACATGTGAAAATTAAGTACGTACAATAGAGATAAGAGATCGTTTATCTGGGGGCACGTTTCCTGATGTTCTGCTCTTCGAGAAAGCTTCTTCGCCTGTGATGAGCTCAAATAGCACAACTCCAAAAGCATAAACATCACTCTTTGCGGTTGCTTGTCCATCTCGTAAATACCTGAGAACACAATTAACCAGGAGGTGTGTTTGAGCGTCGCCTGTTGGCTACTTGGACAATACTGGCGGGGACGAGGTTGGACTTCTGTCTCAAGTATGCACTTAGCCGAATTCACTGTAAATCATCCAGAGATGATGTCTATTGGGTTTCAACTGTTAGTTATCGGACTAAGCTTCTTCTCTGATGGTGCAACTCAGGCTGCCGATTTAAAGCATGCAGTTTTGGTACTTACTCTGGGGCAAGGTAGCCCGATGTTCCGACGACGCCAGTTGTTGTCGTCTCACCATCTGAAGACTGCTCAACTAGCTTAGCCAAACCGAAATCTGCCACCTGATATGCAATGCAGTAGCATTAGGCTACTTCGATTCAAAATTTTCCAAACGAACTTCCACGATAAATGGAAGACTGCAACAGTATTTTTCTGCTTAGATTTTCTATACATGACTGGGGAAAAATCGTCACTCATCTGAAATGCTTCTTCTTAGGGTTTAGGTCTTCCAGAAGAAGGGAAATAGCTTGTTTTAGTAAGAAGCAAAGGTAACACAACTCACAGCATCCTGATCTAAGCAGAAGTATATGATGAAGGTCAGACATCTATTCCTGAAATCCACATTGTTCGTGCAATAAAAGATTCTACTTGCTTTAGCCCGCCATGACCAAGTTAAAACGCGTCAAGTTAATAACAGAAATTGTCAACATCACAATACAACTCTTTCTGTTTTGAATATACCAGAAAGATGCAAAACAAGGCTGTTTCCAAGCTTACCTTTGCTCTGAAAGAAGAATCGAGAAGGATATTGCTTGTCTTGACATCTCGATGTACATAATGGGCCTTAGTGTGCTCGTGAATATATTCGAGTCCTCGAGCAGTATCCAGAGCAATTTGCACGCGTGCATTCCAGGTGAGCGGAGTGTACTCTGGAGTGAACAAGAGGGAGCAACTCAATCAAATGGGATCCCCGAAGAGATCAATGTCAGCAAAAAGACTGGCAAGATTGCCTCTCAGTGACAGGCTTTCAATGATTTGGATATCCTTTTCGAAACAAGGAGCTTCACACACAACAGTTACTTCACAGCTAGCAACTTCAGTGCTATGAAGTTCCACATGTGAATAAGCTTTCGAAATAAGCTTTCGGAGAAAACCTTTTGAAAGTGGATCATGAAGTCTGTCGCTGACCGCTCGGTTTTCCGCAAATTCGTACACCAGAAAGAGCTCGTCATCGCTTACAGAGTAACCAATGAGCTCCACCAAATTCGTATGATGCACTTTGCACAGAACCTTCAGCTCCGCAAAGAACTCCTTTCTTTTCGTGGCCTTCATTCGTTTGATTGCAACGTCCTGTGAGTTGATAAAACAGGTAGAGAAATATTTTAATCAGTTTGAGCTGTTTTCGTTGCCTCCAATTCTTTTTTTCATCTTTCTCAGAATTGTCAGCTTATTGATTATAGCAGTTTTCTAACCGAGGATGGTACTCTCTCCTCCTCCGCTTTAGACAAAGGAGATTAGCCTTCTACGGACAAACTCTGAATGTTTCTGACTGTGACCTCGACTTAGTCTTCAAGACCATACTAAAACGCTCCATAATGTCATTCCCTTCAATTCTTCAACAAGTAGTACGTTGATATTTTCAGTAAGCTCGTAGAAAAAAATTTTCAGTTCATGAATTTTAAGCTTTAAAATTTCATCGAAGAACAGACATCTTACCTGACCTCGCAGTTTTCCTTGGAAGACTGACCCATACGCACCCGCTCCTAGATGATTCTTCTCCGTGAACTCGTCGGTGGCAATGAGAATCTCGTCGTACGGAAAAATTACAGGCTTTTCCATGCCGAACACACCGTTCATCATTTCTGAAATTCGTAATGTGTCTTAGTATCCTAATGAGAACTAGAGACAGTATTGAGTTAAACCAAAAGTGCACATCAAATTCATATCTTAAACTTTGCATCATGTGGTATTTACAGAGAATTAGATCTAGATTAGTAGATTAGTGACTGGCATTATGGAGACTGCAGCATTATTACCTTTTGACAAGGATATATGCCGTTTCACGTTTGAATTTGGATTCCGAATGTGATGAGTTTGCGGCGCCCTGAAGCAGCCAAGGAAACCTTTCCAGTCCTGGAGCGTGTCACGGCTGGATGAAGAAGATCTGTCTTGATTGAACGGTGGTTTACTCCGTGCATAGCAACACATCCTCCGTTTCTGCAAAAAGAAGACAAGGGCAGCCACAGCCGCAACCAATAGTAGGCCAGTGAGCACAATGCCCACTATAGCTCCAAGAGGAATGTTCCCACCTGCTGTACTATTTGTATCTGCAAACACCAAAAGACGAGACATAGAAACACCCGAATTAGTCTCTGAAATCTGCTAGTTTGGCTACACTCAAAGAGCTTATTGATAATTGCACACAAGAGAAACACATTGTAACCGATCGTTAACGAATCTGGCGCTTGCACATTTGCAGGATTAGAACAGTATACAGGCAATATGATATTTCGGTTCGAGTTAAGCATCATTGACGATTTGTCATTAGATTTTACCACCGACGAGTAGACCCTTACCAGTCAATTGTGATCCAACGCTGGCCTGCTTCAATTCTGCAGAAATTTGGGGACGACAAATGGCGTAATCAGGAATATCCCCAAGTGAGGACGACGCTAACGATGACAACGAAAAAAAAGTGAGGAAAGAAATTTCCGATGCTACAATCGTCTGTTTGATAGATTGTTACAAAAAACTGCAACTATAAGAACTTAATTTCACAGTGTTAGCCCTGCCCCACGCGTTGATCTCATAGCTTTTTTATCAGAAGGAAGAAACAATCGTGTTCTCTAAGAAGCGGATGATGATATATGATACATCCATTCCATCCATACTACCCAAGTTGCTCAGCAATCCACTTTAAGTGGCGCTGAACGCAAAAAAATAGATGGTGAAAGCTTGTAAGATTGTAAGAAATGTTCTAAGTTTAACCGATCATAGTACAACACACGGTGTGCATGATTCGGAAGGACGGTACTTATGACCGACTACGCCACCACTTTGCAACCATCTTGACACGTATACGAGCGTGACCGGCGCTGCCGATATGAGTTCTGAATCTTGAAACATACAACGCCGGGAAAAAATCCACAATTTCTAGAATTCCGATTTACACGTCTACTGCAACGCATGAACGTTGGCGAGGTATTTCAAAGGTAACAGTCACTAAGGAAAAATACTCACGAGATTGAGAGATAGGAATGTAGAAAACCACCATGCTCGGGAAGGACCTGACATCGGTCAAGTTGTTTAGACGCAGAAGAGTATTTGTATCCGCACCGTAACGGTCCCTCAAGGCCTCGAACGTGTCTCTATTCTGAAAAACATAGCTCATAAGATATACCGAAGCCGGCGCATTATCCATACAGCCACATAAAAGACTGATCGGCAGCATCTGACCCACGCTGGTTTTTTGGCCGGTCGCATAGCCAAGGTGCTGGTATTGATCCTTGACTATAGACTGCTCGGTCATAACTTGGCTGGTCACTCGGTAAGCTGTGCCGGCTAAATACTGAAAGCTTTCAGTGCACGTACAGTTCACGGAAACCATAACTCTATCACTTGCAACACCTTTTTGTTCCATGATGTCTGAAACTTCAACTTGAAATAGATTGGAAACATCGTCAATTGTGTTGCCTGGAGGTAGTGAATACGACATGTAGGCTGGACAACTACTGCCAGCTTGTTTGCACGGCATCGGACGATTCACCTGGCATGAAATAGGATCGACGTAAAAGATTGCACTTGAAGTTGTGAATAGGACCAATGTCCAGAACCCCACCGCATCCCAGTATGCTTTCTTGACTGTCATGGCTAACATTCAAAACAATCAGTGCTCTTCATTCCTTGGTCGTAGCACATCAAGCTCGACTAGACTTGACTGATCGATGAACATCTTCGTCGCGTCCAGCATTATTATCAAAGCGACGTCACTATCCGACCCAACTCTGATTCAACAGGGATCTTCAGCATGATGAATGTCGCTGGTTCGCAGCTGTAGCACAGACGGACTAGGAAGAGCATGTTGGAGGTGGCATGTGTGCTATATTACAAGGATTCAACTCTTTTAAGCTGTACATCTAAGTCCGTATCAGCTCGACATCATTGAGCACTTTGTCCCGCGCAAGAGGAATTTGACCCGACAAAGCTAAAACAAGTCCTTGTGATCAGCATCCTCCGGCGGACTTTACGTCATATCTCACGCTACAGCTTCGGACAGCATAACTCTTGGTAACGTTATCAAGGTGCCCGTAAAACTTGCAGTCTATCGGGGCTCCTCGAAAATACAAGAAAGCAGAAATGAACAGAAATGCAGATGGCTTTCTACATCCATAAGCTGTCAGCATGATCAGGTGGTGGTGCAAATTGCTGAATCAAAACACTTCCGAAGTTGAAAGATCTCCATTCGTCACTTCAGAATGTGCAGAACGAACCAAATGCGTTGACGTGAACCCGTGCGAAAGTCGTCAAGGCGACGTACAGTGATATCTTTTTCTACTTCATTGCTCTGAAAATCCCCTCCTCGCTGGTCCAGCTTGTTTCTGAACACCGCAGCCGCAGCCGCCCATCCTGCGAGCCGCGGTTCGCTGAGCCCTTTGTGGCGACAATTTCTTAACAGGTGAGCTGTGCAAGACTACCAATCGCACTCTACAGCGATTCCATCAACAATCACTCTCCACTCGCAGGTCGTAGGACTACTGCATCTATAATTCGGAGAAGGAGACGTCAAAGGCGCGTGGAGTTCGACACACTGTCTTCCTTCCGATCCGCCCGATACCCGGCCGATATATAAGCCTTCTCGAAAGCTCCGAGTCGCCAGACAATGGCCGCAAGAAACCAGCGAGAAACAGTTCCAGCCAGGTCAAGGCGAGGTCAAGGCGAGGCTGAACTCGAACCGAATGAACACGGGCTCCCTTTCGATGATCTCACTCGCAGAAGAAGGCGGAATAAAACTCATGAACAGCTGGTATTATCACGCCGCGACCGGCTCGAAAACAACAACAACTGACATCCGACTTTACACGTCCGAGCGAGTGAAGTCAGTCAGCTCCACAACGACCACGAGCCTGCGGGCCAACAAGATTGCCTTGCCCTGACCGATCGATCTGCAACTCACTCACTTACTCATTCAATCAATAAATCAATTCGCGCAAATGAATCTCCTCTCGCTCCCTCTTCCCGTCGCCCCTCACAAATATTTCCCCTCGTCAGCCGACGCCGACGCCCGCAAAATTGCGCTGCTGATCGAACAAGAAGCGGCTTCGAATCCCGCCATTCGCCCCGTCGCTGCGTTTACTCGAAAACACGACAAATCACGAGAAATCTTCCACAGCTCAACGTGTCTCCTCTCGTCGACTCCGCTCGACCTTCTTCCCTACTGAAGGCGGCCGACGAGCGTCGGAGGAGCGTCGGAGGGAACGTCTCTGAGCGTCGGGGGAGCGTCTCGTCTCCTGTCTCGACGACGACCGACGGGAGCCTTAAAAGTACGCAAGCATTTGAATTTAAATGTATTTCCGATCCCGTTTCTTGAAATGGGCCGATTTAAAGTGGCCGAAATTGGAGCTCGTCGGGGACGACGGTGGAGGGGGACTGCGTACTGTCTGTGTCCTTAGCTCCTGACCGGAGCGCGTACCTTATCAGGGACCGGATGTTAAAAATCTGCGTCAACATGGTCACGGAGGGACCGATGGTCCCATCGGATGGCTGTCTGGACACCACTCGATGTGTATTGTCTTCGACGCCCGGGGATAAAGACGTACGCGAGTGTACAGGGCGACCGGGTAGTACCGGATGTACGGGACGGGCCGGGACCCCGGTGACATTTAGTATGTACAGCTGCGCGCTGCTCTTATCCGTCGCACCCCGCAGCATTAAATGCGTCGAAATGATTAAGGAAGAACGAGCGAGACAGAAGTTCCCAGGCCCGGTGCGGTCAGTGTCTCAGTCGCCGGTGCCCCCGACCTCGACCTCCCCACGGTCGGCACCCATGTCCGGTTTCTCCCGGCGGTGGTCGCCTCTGGTCCGAGAGATCCATCGAGGCGGCAGTCCATTTTGAATGGTAGCATAGATTCCAGAGAATCTTGCATGCTTATTATTCTCGTCCCTTTTCTCATCCCCAAGTCTCCTCGTTCTCCTTTTCTCGCTCGGCCTTGCGGAATTTCACTCCGATTGCTCCTTTCGTGCTTCGGTTGCTAAAATCAGGTCGTCTCCACTGACAGATACATGTGGAAGAATTAAATAAAATTTCCAGAGATAACATTTAGGCCGTTCGATAAATCAGATAACAGAAGCATATATTTCCCGGTGTGATGCTATTGGGGCATTGCCCCATCGCCCCTGCAACTTGATGGGGTCTCCCATCCTTTCTCTTATATTACTCGGTTTTCGATCACCACTACGTCTTCCGCAGATGTCCCTTAACTCGAGTTCGAGCTGCCATTGGTTCGAGCTCTTCACACGAGCCGAATACAAGCCTGGCCTTGACACGCGAGCATTAAATGCTGCGACCCGACCACGAGTTCGGGAGTTCGGTCGCTCCCAGCCACGTGTACACGCGCATTTCACTCGGTTTGCGCATTGCAGTTTTCCTGTTCATGTGCCGGCCATAACTATGGTACGAAGTTGGGTAACTCGGTACGTCTCGAGACCGTCCTGTCCTCGTATGGACCACTGTCCACCAAAGGTGCAGCATTCGCGCGGTACGACGTCCTCCACCGTCGATTGACGCCCGAGTGACGAATCCGATGACTCCAATGACTCCGACCCGGCCCGATTTAGGAAGGCCGGTGTACACGACGACGTCCAAGCCATGTCGAATCGGTGGGCGCTCTCTCGTACTCGATCTGATGTAAAGGACGACATTGGGACAGAACCTCGTTGGTCTTGCGTGGGCTCTCGGACCCGCAAGGAGGAGACGGCCTGTCCTCGTGGGTGCGGCTCGCTTTACTGCGTCTGAGGGTCTGATGCGCTCATGCAGTCACATGCGCCATCCTGATCCGAGTATGCGTCGAGAATGCACTCGGGTGAACAAGTCACCGCAGTTACTGCGACGGCGACGTCGAGTGCGATGGCTGCTGGCGTGACCTGCGACGGAGTACGTGCAGGGAAAGGTGCAAAAGCGCATGGTGTTAACCGAGTAACATTTCTGACAGAAGAGCGCACTAAACCCATTACTACATTCTCCGATGACGGACGTACGATGCATGGTATGCAGCGATCGCTGGTCGTCGAGCGTACATACTGTGGAGGTGGTAGGCGTATGTACGCTGGGGTCGATGATTCGCGGAACCTGGCGATCGAGTGCTGGGTCATGGTTTGCTTTCTGCGCTTGACCATTGACCGAGTCAGAGCGAGGACGAGCTCGAAGGAGGTCATCGGACGTCAACAAGGCCGATCAGCGATGTGGCAGAATTGTGCACCTCGAGAGGAAAGAGGAAGGACAGAAATGAGGATTGTGAGTTGTAACTCCCCTGTTGGGTGCGAGAGAATGGTACATCGCAGGCTGGAGCATTCAACTGCCGGGCTCGCCTTCGAAGCCCATGGCAGCAACAGACGTCGCCGGCTTCGATTGGTCGGAACGCTGCAATTTCGAAAACTCTGCCGCGGAGGGTACACATTTCTGCTAATGTAGGCCTAGAGCCTTTGACCCGAGGTTCTTCTCTGCCACACTCGGGCCAGGAGTGATGGTGGCGCAGAGGCTGAGGAATTGCGCATTTCCCTGCGAGCACACTCTTTAATCCTTTTGGGCCTGGTAGGCATCCTCGGGGTTCTACCCGCCTACGGAATGTCCTGATCGTCCATCACTCTTCTTTACTCCGCGAGTCCGTGGCTCCCAACTGCACCTTGCATGCATGTCATGTCCTCGCAACGAACTCCTCTGCGGAGCCATTCCACGACGTGGGGCAGCTTCACAGCTTACTCAGGATCATCCTCCATCACATTTTCGGGACCGTAGTAAGTACCGCGTGCATTCACATGAAAACACAGGACAGAACTCCAGAAGCCCATGAACTGCAGATCTGTTCGAAATTTGTGATTTTCTTCTCCATTAACGAAGTGTCAATTTGACTCTCCGGGAATATGGAAAAATCTCTTCCCCTACTTCTCTGGGTAAAAGAGGACTTTTTTTCCCCTTCATTTGATGTCCACATTCTGAATTTCCTTTCATTGCGCCTTATTTTTCCTCCCACTTATTCCGCGTTTCTTGAGATGATACAATTTTTTTCATCTCGCAGTCTGAAGTTGGAACTTAATAAAGTCTTGGAGAAATAATTTTTTATTGGGCAATATTGGGTTGCCTAAAAGACAAAGCTTAAATACAGTAATACGAAGCAATCCGGGACACTAGGGAACTGGGCACCTGGATATGGAAAAATTGGCAAGACATGGCCCCAATCCAGACAACAGCCGCCTTTGATTCGCAATACAAAGTTTGTTTCACCATAAAATAATAATGTAAATTTACTTATAAAATAAATGGGTTGGGGACAGATTATGCGTGGCTCTTACGTGGAGCCTAGTTGGGAGCAATAATTTGTTAATAACCCATGTCTTTCTATCATATCTCAAGGTGATGCTAGAAGTAGGATTCATCAGCTATATCGGTAAAGTATTCCAACGCACTTGCCATGATATCAACAATCTTACAGTTATGATGATTCAAGCATTCATTGATCAAGATTGATCAATGAATGCATGAATCATGAAATTAAATTTCCCATCCCTCTCAAGGTACTATTGGTTTCATAAATTACTCCATCAAGTTCTTTTCGTCAATTTCATTTCCTGAGTTATGCCGCGCCTTTTCAGGTGCAAGGAATCATTTCCAGTTGTAGAGTGTAAGAGCAGCGGCAGAATCTTATTTCCAAATTGCGGTTGTGGTCTTTTCAGTGACTTTATTTGGTCGATGATTAGTTTACGATTCTACGTTGCTCATAGATCATATTCGCATGATAACGCTCGACTGAAGCGCCCACCTTTGAGTAATTTCTGTTGAAAAGGTTCAGGGTGTACATTTCAGAAAGTGTTCACAGTTTCACTCCACACGATTCTCAGTGGCCGCCCATTAAAGCCTCGGTCCTAAATGCGTCTACACATGTTCAGGCCCGACCGCAATGCTGTGAAGATTTTATTACAGGCACATTTCCACCTTCGCAGGGGGACTTTGGCAGGCCAAAAGCTACGCTAAAGCCTTGCCGGCTAGAATCGAAATCATACCACAAAAGCGCCACATCAGCCCCCGTCCGAAGCACAAGAAGCCCAAGAGGAAGATCAGGCGAGGCCTCGGGTCGAAGATGGCAATAGCGCGCGTCGCCTGCGAGGGGGGATGGTGTGAGATTTCCCACCATTCGAAGCAGGCCGGTGAATACGAACACGTTCGACATCCACGGCGCATGAAATATCTGCCATCATTCATCATGATAATGCTACAAAGTATCAAGTTGTTGTGCCTCGCAAACGGAAGGGCTCGAATAATGAACTGCCCGATAATGATGTTGGACCTCGTGCCTAACACAGAAATGCATCCCTGGAAGCGGATATGACAGCCCCGGCACTACGTCGGGCATTCTGCACCTTCAGTTTCAAAGTGTATTTTCGCACGCCACAATCATTAACTCGTCAGGTTTGGATAAAAAGCCAGAGCGCAGCATATCCGGAATTCAGATTCCAGAAAAGAAGGCGATTAAAAGTGGCCGAAGCCCCGAAAGGCATCTTGTCGCCCCGCCTCGTGGTCGCTGCCCTCCATGCCATGCCACCGAATATTCGCGCATCTTCAGGAGCTCCCATACGACGACGGAGCCCCGCCAAGGAGACGAATCTCTGACCGGACCTCGGGCCCACCGCCGTTAGGACCGCAACCCAGAGATCTGAAGTTCCGTAACTTCCTTCGCGGGGTCTCCGTCGCTCAGATGCAGATGTGCAGATGACACAGCTCATGGCTTCGAGATCCAGCCGTCGATGCGACGCTCCGGACGTTGTAATGTGTCGCATGTGGACACGTGCCCGTGGTGGGGCAAGAGGCTGGAGACGAGAGACCACTGTTCGCCGGTGGGCGGGGGTAGAAATCCCGGTCAAGGATATCCTACGCACCGGCGCTACTGGATGACCTGATGACCTCAGCATGCCGTCGCCGGTGGGGAGCCGACATCTGATCTCGATGCTTATTCGACGGTTTCGCCCCTTGACTACCGACCGCTTCTTCTCGCCTTTATTCCTGGCTCTTTCCGTGTTTCTCCGTCTCCCGGGGTAGGGTGGTGGTCCTACCCTTATTATGTAGGGTAGGACCCCCATCCTACCCTACAGAATTAAAGAAAATCCGAATTCCCGGGATCTCCAGAAAACAATGGCAGTGCGTGAATTTTGTCTACGCTCGCGAAGTGACGAACGAATTGCATCGAGTGTGTCTGTGAAACGCTGCAGGGATTTGGAGGCTTTGGGAAAGGAGGACGATTTGTTTGACCTGCTGACGGCGTAAGCTCGAAACGAA